TATGTATTATTAATAACACGGGTAATGTCTCAACTTATATCATGTCAAATCTATTTTTTTGATTTGGAGGCAATGTTGGAAGGTAATTTAACAGTAAAAAACTGTTTGAAGGTGCATTCCTTAGCTGTCCTGATGGGGTCTGTTTTGGGGAAGTGCTCTGACTCCTGCTTCTTGTGACAGACATGTTGTTTCTTTGCTTGGAAAGTTTGTTTTAAAACACGTACATTACAGATACAACTTAGTAACATAGCCAGGTGAAGACACATGCTTGTTTCCCATGTTAAAGTTAAAGGTTTCACTTTCACCCTCTCCTTTTCAAACATGTGCTCAGAATTCATGTGAAGTTATAATGTTGTCTGTAATTAGCGCTTGAGCTATTTTCATATTCTGCTCATATTCTCTTCTGCTAAAGTACAAAATAGACATCTGTAAATACTTCTGAACCAAGTGCAATTATAGCCCCAGAGTTTATTTTATTTTATTTTATTTTATTCTTTATCTTAATTATATAGTCTATTATCTTAAATAATAGACTTATTTGATGTGTGCAATCTGAGTTCTCTTAATTCCTTCTTTCTCTGTCAACGATGACACTGAAATTTCTCCACTGTGAGACGAATAAAGGTTTATCTTATCTTGTCTTATCTTAAAAACTCTGACTTTAGCATAATAAAGAAGTATAAAATCGACTGTGTACTGTATATTAGTGCAGGTCATTTATAGCTGTATGTTTACATCTGTACATGTTGGCAGCATGAGGGTCTGGGACGCAGTGACTAAGTAGAGCAACAGTGAACACATGTGGTTCTATATTCCACATTATTCTGACATTATTAGGTTATTATTGCACAGATGAGTAAGTGAAATAAAGTGACAGTGACTATGCACCTTGTGCCTAAAATAGGATCTTAAATACTTCAGACGGGCTGATAAGTACCACTATCCTACCTTTAATTTTGCTATGAGTACTGATATCGACTGCTTTAACCACCGACGGCGGAATTCAAAGTGGAGTTATGTTTCTCCCGCCTCTTTAGTCTTAGCGTATATCCTTAAATCTTTTCCATCAGCATCTCCCCTCTTCTCCCGTTTCTCTTACAGGGCAGACCTGGCGGTGAGTCTCTCGCTCTCCGGCCCTGTCTTCCTGCAGGAGCCTACTTATCTCTTTAATGGGGATATCAATTAACATGGGAAACTGGGACCCCTAGGCCCTTGGAGAATTAATGCAGAACATCTTAGGCCACAGAGAGGCAGGCTCAAATGCGCTCATCCGCTCATTCCTCTGCAGGCTTTTCGGCTCTTCCGTCTTCCTTTATGGTGGATTGCTTCTACAAAAAATGCCAAGCTACTTACTTGAACTGTTAGAATAAAGTTTTATGTTAAATGACGTCATCTCAGCAGAACCTTCTCCCCCTGCGTTTATGCTTGATGGATTTCACCTAACTGAAATAGCCCTCTGCTAGCAGCTGTAGTGTTTTCAGATGGGCAGCAAAATGTGATCAGTTAAAGCTGGGGTACCTAAATTTCAAACAATACAAAAAAGTTTTATATAATAAAAAACATTCACGACTTCTTATCTCTGGTTTTCACTCACATAATAGTGACTCACAATAGATTAAGAGATCCTTTATTTGTCATAAAGAACAATGCAAAAGATAACATGTTTTTAATGAAATGAAGACAGCATGTTGTAGTTTGATTTGTTTGCAACATTTTGGACCCACCCCCTGCTGGAGGATAAGCGATATACTGGGCAATATGAGCCAGAAATGAACTAACAAAGGGGATGAAAATGAATGAATAAAGACTTTTTCTGTTGTATGTTATTTTTGAAAAACAATTAGGGAACTTAGCTTTAAAGCCTTTAGTATTGAAAATAAATACATACAGTAATGATGAATAATATAACAGCAGCAACATGCAACAATGAATCCATTCAGTCTGAAAAAATACTGTGAAATGAAAAAATATTGTTCCAAAACCCACAGATGATTTATAACTCATTCCACACTTTAAATTTACAACCAAATGGGGAGTCTAGATTATACCTCAAAGTGACAATGGTTTGGCCTGACCTCCTGTTAGATAAGGTTACTGTCTGCAGTGTTTGAGTTTAGGTCACAAAGGCCAACAGCAAAACGACAAAATCAATGTCTAAAAGCCAGTCATTTGGAAGGTGATGACCTACAGCGGCAGAAGTGGATACAGCCTCAAATTAATGACATTATTGGTGTTTGGGGTCAACTTGAAAAATAAACACATAAATCAGACACTCCTCTTGTTGTAGATAGAGGGGAAATGGAATGATGTTTTCCTAATCAAGTACAATGGATGAGAAAAATAAAATGTTAAATATGCAACGTTCTTCACAACTGGATCTTGCTCACAACAGTCTCTCAAAGGATCCTACAAAATCATGACATTGAAAATTAAATGAGTGGCTGAGTGGATAATACTAATGGAGGACATGGGTTCAAGCCTGTGTTGTCTTGAGCCTTTCTGTACAGAGTTAGTTTCCTCCAGGCGCTTCGGTTTAACATACCACAGGACACTCAAAGACGCTTCACAGGCTATTATTCATTCACTCCATACACGGTGGTGATAAACTACTACTGTAGCCACAGCTGCCCTGGGGCACACTCACTGAAGCGAAACAACCAATATGTGCCGTCGGCCGCTCTCACCACCACAAAGCATTCGCACACACACCAGACTCATTCTAGGCAATGTGGGTGAAGTGACTAGTTTGGCACTTTCCAGCTGCTGCCGCCCCACTGTGGCACCTGGTGTTCCCAGAAGTCTCCCATCACATTACTAACCAGGCCCTACCCTGCACAGCTTGAGAGGTCTGACAGGATCTGGCTTTCGAATGCAAGTAAGACCGCATAAAATTGTAGATGGCATTTTCATTTTGCACTTTTGTCCACATTTCATCTTTGTGTATTCCAACAGTTTATTGCTTACAACATTTTCTTGAATCAATATCTTTAATGATCCGTGTTCTTTGGCGGCCTATATTTTTCCCGACAGCTGAAATAATCTGCATGGTTACACTGACTTGATTCATGTCTTCTTGTCAAGAGCTTTAGTTTAAGACACACAGCGACATATTTTTTACTTTAACCTGTTCAGCTACCAGTGGGAGGTCAAGAGGTAAGTCATAGCGCCTCCTGTTAGATAAAATTCCAAACCAATTGGAGCCTTCCCCATTTATATCCATTACATTCTGAAGGGGATCAATAGTGACAAGGTCTGTGCCTCATCGCTCTGAGCCTGTCAACAAAGGGAGGCCTAATCTACAGGAAGGCAGCACACCACAAGCCCATGACACAGGTTTGTACAAATTTAATCTGGAATATTTTCAACCAGGTGAAGATTGGTACAGTTGTGTGTCATGCAGTAGTTAATCAGAGCGAGTCTAGCAGTGAGTGCATGTACACGCCTTTAGCATCCTTTTCACCCTTTTCATACCATCGGAATATATTTTTCTTTATTTAAAACATGTTGCTTGGGTCCCCTTGAGCTTTCAAAACCCCAGGGTGGTCGATATGGCCTAGTTTTGCGAATTTCCTGCTGCAGCACAGAAGAAGCGTACAAACAACTAGCACACACACAATGCAGAGTCAGCGCCGCTTGCACCCGACATTGACGCTCAAACGCCGAGCCTCACACAAACCCTCGTGAGCAAATCTACAAAACACTTATGAGAGTGTTTGCTCCTGTTTAACATAGACAGAATCCTGGGAAGAGGGTACTACATAGAAAAACAAGCAGACAGAAAGAAAACAGGGGAAGTCGGAGCGGAATAACGTCATCATTATATGGTGTTGGTATAGTAGATCCAAGATACTCATGTGATACATATGTGTGTGTATGTGTGTGTGTGTGTGTCAATAAATATACATATACACTGAAGAATATATACTTTTGGACAATACTACAGTGAATGAGCCAAAGCAATTTCCTGGTGTGTGATTTCCTGTGGCAATAAAAATGATTCTGATTCTGAATGTTTTAGATAAATAAACATGTCTGTCTGCTGTCATAATAAAATGGAGCAAGTTACAGCCTGCAAACACATTTCCTTACTTTCAACAAAACAGAAACAAAAACTTTACAATCTATTTGTCCTAAAATGTTTGCCTATATCCAACAATGTGTGCTTTCTCATTTATAAGAAGAAATCAAAATGACCCCTCAGCTTAAAACAATTACTTTATTATAGCTATTTTTAGATCATGGTGCCCAATCTTATCCAAAACACTAAACAGACCTTTTAACTTTTATATTAAATCGTCTTGACCTGGTCTAATGTAGCTGTTTTTATAATCTGTAATTTTACGCAATTGTGTGTGACCGTTTTGAAAATATGTAATTGTATGTAAATGTGTAAAACTTTTGTCCCGGACTCCCTTGAAAAAGAGGTTCTTAATACAATTGTGTACATATTCACAGATATCTACTGTATATTACTGAGTACTTATATCCAGATTATTCTATTCTTACAATAGTATCTTATCATTATTCTTATTTTCAGGTGGTTACTTCATTGTTATTTTTATGTGGAATTCTATGCAACCATACTGTGACAAGTCTAAGTTTTAATCTCAATGGGACTTTCCAGGTTAAATAAAAGTTAAAAGACATAAAATAAAAAAGAAACAGGTTGTGAAGCGCTGTTCAATTACCATTCAGGAATTCTTTTGCATACATGTAGTTCATCTTCAGACAAAGCCACAGACAAACACATTTATAGGAAGTTATATCACACTCATCCAATCGATAGTGCAACATTCACACAATAGTAGGCACACAGCAAAACCAATGAGCCCACGTGGATATAAATACGTTTCCACAGTCCTGCACGAGAACAAAGCTGCTGGACACAGAAACAACAAATTCTCCGCTCATCCCACGTGCTCCGTAAATAGAGAGCAGGATGTTGCAGATATTTGGGTCCATGTGAAAACACGACATGCTCTGGAGTGAGGGTGAGGCACATGGGGGAGAGAGAGGCCCGCAAGACAGCCGATGGAGCAGCAGTAGGTGGACAGATGAAGTGGTGACTCAGGAGCCGGTGTGAAAAGGATGGATTCAGCACTTGGAAACGGTTCTTCCCCTGGCTATCGTCCTCTGCTGTTTCATTCACTCTTAAATAGTTATTATATGTTTATTTTGATAGGGACAGAACAAAAAGCATGGCTACTAATAACCAATGCCATGTTCGTATAGGCCATAACAGCTCATTTGCAGATCTGGTCCCTGAGACATAAAATACAGAGTTTTATAAAAACACAGATTACACAGTACAATATATTTACAATTTGATATCAGATTTGCATTGTTCGGTTCTTATAAAGGATAAAAAAGGGAAAAAGAAAAAAAAAATATATATATATATATATAGATTATTAAGAGACAGATGTGAATTTCACCGAGAACCTTGACCTATTCATGCCTGGCTCATCCATCTTCTCTCCTCGCTGCGTAGCTCAATACATTTTTTCAATGGGGCTGTTTTCAGTATACGCACTATACATTCAGACTACTCTTATACCTTGTTAAAGCTGGGGTACTTAATTATCGAACCACAAAAGATTGGGCTATTCAACACAAATCGATCGAATGTGTTCCTACAGCTCAAAACTGTTTGGTTCTGTCACTTGCGCAAATGCATGTCTGTTTTGGTCACATCTTTCTTTTTTTTCAGATTTGAGAAGTGAAAAAGAGAAAACCAGCCTTTCTGAGCAAATCAAAGCTCAAAAGCGTCAATTTCCGACTTTTTCTTACAAGTATTCAAAAGATAAAACATGTCACTTTTACAAGACTGTTGGGACAATTAAAAAGTATTTTTGAAATAATAAGTTGGAAACCGCATATTTATGTAGATGATTAGGAAATCGGCAGGCAATACGATTTTGTTCTTCTTTCTGCTCCTTTTTGTTTGTGTGACAGAACTACAATGATTTGAAATGTTATTGTAATGTGTGGTGTATTTGTAATGTCCACAATTTAAATAAATAAATAAATGACTTCACTCAGAGTGCATCAACTTCTGTTTCCAGACAAAACAAAAGTATTATGGCTGTGTATTATTAATACTATGCCTATGTATTTGTGACTCTTAGTGTGAATACTGTTATATTAGTCAAGCGAAATGCAGGCTCCGTTTGTGTTCTGTTAACATCTGGCTCTGTGCCTTTGCCTGTGGATGTTTCCTCTCAGTCCCAGAGGAGTACAGACGGTTAGCAGGACGGCATTATACTGTCCATGCCTCTTCATGTCATCTTTTTTTGCTTAATTTTTCTGTTTGTGTTTTAGTGCAGTGTTTCTCAAGGTGTGAAAGGCGTACTACTGCTGTTACGCGACCACCTTCCAGTTGTAAGTGAGCCTCTTTATAGTTCTAATGTCCACCCAGTGTCACTATTGAATTAAATCATTAAATAAACAAAATACACAGTAAATTGATTATCACAAAATGGTTGGATGAGTTTTCTGATTGTGTATAGGGTTTTTGTAGATTTACCTTGTTTATTCAGTTAATAATAAAATTGCTAATACATTTTATCTAAAAGCACATTTCAAAACACTAGAAAACACGGTACAAACTTGGTTAAAAACAGGGTGCAATTTAAAAATATTAGCATTAAAAACAATTAAAACAACAGAACTGGACGGAGGTGTTTAGGTGACTGGTTATGTCACTTCACTTTACTTTATTTCACTCCCTAAGGTTTATAAGGTAAACTTTTAAGTACCCATTGGGAAAATTGTCCTCTGCCTTTGACCTTCTGTCGAGAGCAGTGCGGCCGAGAGATGCTCTGTTTTGTTTATTTGTTTTAAATGTGTGTTAAGGTTCTTGAATACTCCATGCCATGGGGAGATGGAGCAGTTGGCCCATAGGTAAAAATGTCCATTGGATTTTAATAATGTTTTGTGACCAAAAAGAACATTCTTGAGTGTGTAGGAGAATGATGCTTCTAGCTTGTATATTCATTTTGTTCAAGAATGAATGTAAGATGGATGTCAAGGCTGGAGGCAGGACTGGAGGTATGCGAAACTGTTATGTTGAAGTGTTGATGTTAAATAGGTTTGACATAAGACAAAGCACACCACAATATTATTTTCCTCTATTTATCAATTTATTTATATCAATGGTTGTTTATTGGGCGACATAAACGAGTGGTTTAGGCGTACAGATATAACAGTGGGACAGATGTGGATAAGGCACACTTGGGCAGCACGGTGGCTGAGTGGGTTGCACTCTCGCTTCTCAGCAAGAATGTCCTGTGTTCAAATCGGAACAAGGCTTTTCTGAGTGGAGTTTGCATGTTCTCCCCGTGTCAGCGTAGGTTTCCTCCAGGTGCACTGGTTTCCCCTACCACTAAAAACATGCACAATAGGCCTGGCATGCGCCTCCTGTACTGGCGACCCCGCTCCCATCTCTGTGTGGAGTGAGTTGGAAAATGTCCTAAAAATAACAATTGTAAACCGCTTTGTGACTCTGGTCTGTGAAAGGCGGTATATAAATAAACATTACTTACTTACTTCACCCACATTGCTGCCTATAATGGCGGTTAGGGGAGTTAGATGGTGTATATAGCATTATAAATAAAGCTTGTAGTTGGGTTAGGGTAAGTATTAAATTAAATATAAGTCTTAAATGAAACATGGGATATGATAAGATGTATAAGTCCCACAGTGAGAAACGAATAAAATATTTAAATCAGCAATAATGAACAGTATAACAAATATTTTAACCACACATGCTTTACTGCTTTTCCAGATATGTTGCTACTGCGTCTTTAATTCGGGAGGTCAACGTTGGGTCATATTGCAACTACCTGACAAAGGTAAAGATTTTTCTCCACACTTACACATATCCTCAACATATTGTCTGAACTGGGCACCCTACTTTTCCTAAAAGCCTTTATAAAAAAGTTAGTTCTTGACTGGTTTGTAGCTCTTTGACTGAACTTGCTCGGTGTGCCCGGGCTCCTAACGCTCGCACCTCTCCTCCCACTCCCTCTCTCTCCCTGTGAGCTCCGTGCTTGCTCCAGCCCGGAGTCTCTCGGTGTCTCGGCTCAGGAGCTTATCTCGGTGCGCATCGTCAGCATCAGTTTGAAGTGAAATCTGACAGCCGCCGCCGCCGCCACCACCGCTCCGGTCGCGTCTCCTGCCTCTCCGACACGCTCCTCGGTGGTCAGCCCGTCTCCTCCAAAGGTACTGCCCGGGAAAGCAGCTGAATGATCACTGATGGACTTTATGATGGAGAGTAGTGTTTGTGGAGGTTGACTTGAATTGGCGCTCGGGATATTTGGCTGTGTGCGCTGCCGTGGCCGTGCGCGTATACTCTCTCCATGCCGCTTGTCTCATACACCCTGTTCTCTTTTTTCTGCTTTTTTTTGCAGTTGAGCGGGACTGTGGGGAGCGCGTCTGATCGCTGGCTTCAACTTGGGGAAGAAGAAAGACACGGGAAACTCCTCGGAATTCTCCATACAACGCGCTTCTTTAACGCTGTTCCGGTGAGCGATGGCTTTTTTTAATTTCAGGATGAGTTAACTCCGTTGTTGATGCCCTACTTATTGCGGGGTTGGCGTTGCACATACTTTTTACGGCTCTGTTAATTAATTGTTGTGCCGTGTCTAAAGTAATATAACGCATGCCCGTCTGGTTTAAACGCTGCGCCCGTGGCCATGAAGTTAGCCGCTTATTATGCATGGGAATTATACATGGCCATTTGTGACAATTACCAGTCGGTATTCCTATCACGAAGAGGGGAGGGAGTGATCCAGCTGGGTGTGTGTGTCTGAGGGATAGGGGAGATTATGATGGGATTGAGTGAGGAGTGTGAGAAGAAACATTTAGGGGATCCCTCAGGGAAGTGCAGCTTTGCACCTTTTTATGAGCCAGATTTAATAGTCTTTTATTTCTCACTATGATGACATTGTCTGATATTGTTCTAAAAGTCGCTACTTATTATGCTATTGTCATTCCATTACTCCTCTTTATCTGTATATGATAACATTCCACTGTTCTGCAGGGCTGCGCTGCAAGGCACAAATCTATGCAACCATTTGCTGGGTTTTATTGTCCTGTTTATCAATTAAGGCTGTCTATAATGGAGATATCACACTTCCTCCAACATAAAACATTACTCTCCCACACACCATCCGTTAGCATCTCACCTCCCACATAGCCACACTTGCTGTCCAGAGTCGATTATTTGGTTATGTGCCACCATTTGCACTAATAGAGAGACTCTACTTAATGTAATGACAACTCTATCTGTCAGGCTGTGCCCAGCAGAGGGACGCTTAAAGGGCCATCAGCGGTGTCATCAAGGGCAGATTGAAAGGCCGTGAAAGCGCTGTGACATGACAAAGTGCCTATGGAGCTTGTCTAAGTTGTTTGCTGATGTGTTTTATTGTCTTTGTACAGTGCAGGATGGTTGTAGGGCCTGATCCTGTGTGTGCATGTGTGTCTAAATATGCAGTTGAGCTGGCGGCTGTGCTCAGCCATGTGTATGCAAGGAAAGAAAAGTGAGCAAAAAGAACGAAGAGACAGAGGAAGCAGAGAAAGAAAGATTATGCTAACTCAAAACTATTGGAGGAAGAGGAAATCCCATGTAAGCATTTTTTCTATTGCTTTATATATTTATATATTTAGCTGTCAGGGCCTTCAGTGAGACACAGTAGGTTGTTCTGGCTTTGACATGCTTGTCACTGGGCTAAGGATATTTATTTTATGAAAGACACTGACTATTTTAGCTTAGCTCCACAACTCCTATACAAGCAGCCGTCCGAGCGGAACATCTAAACAACATGCCCACACACTAAATTAGTCCACTAATAACACAGGCGACACAAGAGGGAAGTTGCTGGTCAGCACTTATGGTTCACATTCACCTGCAGTTTCTCTATCCTTAGAGACCCAGCAGAGCCACTGAGGAGAGAGTTAATTAATCCTGCGATATGTACTACTTAATATTAGCCTGCATTTATATAAATGATGTTAGAAGATGTTAGTTCAATGTGTCTGTTTGGCAAAAATACTTTGTACTGATTTGCTGCAAATGTTTTATAAAATATAGCATTGAGTATAGAGTTGCAACAGAGGCAATGATCCCAGGCCATAAAACGTATTTGGGGCTTTTCCCACTCTCAAAGCTATTTAGTGTGATTTGTACAAGTTCAAGTAAACTCTAGCAGTCCAGATGCCATTGCTTTGTTTTCTATTTTCGCTTTCCAGTGGTACATGTTGAATTCAGCAGATTTGAAAAGGATCATTGCCAGCTATCTTCATCTATGATACAAATATATATATATATATACATTATAGATACTTATAACTATGGAATCATGGCTACAGGATATTTAAATGTTGTTTTTGTCATCGATATGTCTCTTTTAAAATAAGTGTCTTATTTTGACATATTCACTTTAGTTAGTGACACTAGTGTTGCACAATTTGTCATCTCTTTTTGGGCTTTATTTTGATTATGTGCCCACCACTGATACTCGGAGTAAAGCTCTCATACTGAGCATTACATCATCATGTGTGAACACAGTGTCAGCGCGGCAGTCAAGAGTAGGTTACAGTGCTAACATCTTAGAGCAGAACAAGATCAAAACCTTCTCCACTCCCAGATCGCTCTCTAACTCTGAGAGCTGGGTGACACCGGCCCAGGCGAGTGGACTGGAGGCAAACATTGGTTAAAAGTGCCCTCCGAACAGGCACTCCTGAGTTCCCTTTGACAGCACAAAAGAACGCTCACGTATGGAGAAGCTGTGGAGATTGCAGACTGGAGTCATCATTACTCCTGCCTATTCCGACAAAAAGATAGCAAGCATTTAAAGCCGACCCTAACCCTTAGATTTTTGTTCAGCTTATATGGTCTGTGAAATCAACGCTATAGAAGTAAAGATTACTTATGGTACCGATGTGCTCTCAGATGCACAGAATCATACATGACAGATACATATAAAGTCATGCACTTACACGTTCACATTTTCACATGTCACCCATACCACACCACTACACAGCATATGTAGAAACTCACTACACTGCAAAAAGTGATGAAAAATAATGTCAAAATGGCTGAAATTTGGCAAAATGTGTCTTTATTTGAGCACATTTACGAGACTAAATGACGTGTCTCATTGGCAAATCTTGTTTTAAGACAAAATATACTCCAATTGAGATAAAAACCACTCGATTCAAGCAATTATTACCTCATATTTTATCATTTTTTGCAGTGTAATAACTTAATAGCTAAAAAGAGCTATAAATTACTTTAATCGCCTGTTATATTGTTGTTGTATCTCTCATCCCTGTCTGATAAATTCACAAATGTCTTGGTCACTTTAATTAAAAACTAAAACAACTTTGGCAGAGCGCAATTCTTTATTCAGTGGTCAAGGAAGAGTCCGAATTGTCACGTCTTAAAATAAACGCCAACCGAATATATTTGGGCATGCTCAGGTTGAGAAGGTTCTCACTGTGAGGCATTGTCTTCATTTTTCACCTAGCCTACTCTGTTGTGGCTTACGTGTCATCACCCACCCTGTCAAACAATAAATGGCCCTGGGCTTAAAATATCCACAAACATACTTGCATTGTGTTTTTTTGTACAGGGACAGCCCCACAGTGCTGGCTCCAAACCAAAGCCGTGGTGATAACGAGGTTGAAGTTAGTTAGGATTTTAGCTGCGCTGCAACCTCCTAACACCCTTTCTCAATCTGATTCATCCCAAAATGAGATGTTTTTCCAAGAGAGGGAGATGAAAACACTCTCCCCCCTTCTTCACTTCCTTCTTCTTCTCTTGCCAAATACAGTTGAGCTCAAACCCTCCGTGTGCTTGTCCCCTCCCTCCCTGTAAAACTCCCATACTCTCACACAGTCTCTGTTTCACACCCCATCCCCTTCCTGCCGTTCTCTCACATCTCTTCTCTCCTCCCCTGGCACCTCGATGTGTTTCTCTTTAATTGAGATGCATTTCAATGTGGTGCAAATTAGCTTTCTCCAGCACCAGTCTAAACTTGAAACCCGTGAGTGCGTGTGTGTTTGTGTGCGTGCGTGTGTATACAGTGTGTGTGCATATATATCTGCTGGTACAGTCCATACAGTTAGTGTGAGTTGAAAGTAAAAACGCCATACATTTGCTTTTGGGCGCATTGTCTTCTGACGCGCTCTCTCTCTTTCTCTCACAAGCGGCCATTTTTAGTTGGACATTAATAACATTCCCACTTTATACATAGTCTTGGCCAGTGCAGTTTTATTTGACCACCTCGCAGGTTTTTGAATCCGGATCTGTTTCCGTGTGTTGACAGTGCAGAGTGGCTCGTTAGTGAAGGAGCTGAAATGTGATAGTCGAGGCGTGGGTTAATATTTGTCTGTCTTAGCTGGCTCTACACTGGTTAAAAAGGCCATCTGGTGAAAAAGAGGCGCGCGTAATTGTTTGAAGATGTATAGTGAATAATAATGATGGGGGGAAAAATGGTACGTTAAGTTTTAAGTTGTCTAATTAGTGTCTCATCATTATGGGTGGCACAGCAGCCTGTTCTTCCAGCAGGTTTGGTGACGGTTCTCCTCAGTGTTTCGGTTTAGCCGGAAACCCTCTGGGACCTGGAAACTGAATTCAGTCATTTTAATGGGACTTTCCGAGTAATAATAGTTATTAGGGCTGCAGCTATTGATCTATTACTATTTTAGACATCAAGTAATATATAAATTGACTTTTTTATTAATTGAGTATTCTAACAACTTCAGTTTTACTTTCTATAAAAGTTGTTTCAATATTTCAATATGTTTAGATAACGTTTTATTCACTAACAAATAAGATATAATGTCAAAAAGCACTATGCCTCCTTAAGTTCAGCATTGTTGTGTGCTTGGTGTACTTGTGAAAATAACTGAATAATCTAGACAATTAAAATATAATCAAAGCTTTTTTGTGATTGAATATTTTTCGGAATCTATTTACTCTAATCCATAATAGTTATAATTACAATCAAGCAATGTTTACGTTATTTACTCCTTGGCCTAGTATTTTTGTATAGGGCTTTAAAAGGAAAAACATACAACCATTGTAGGTCAGTGTGTGACATAATGTGTCATGTTGACGTCGTAAAGATGAGCTTGTGACAGATTTATCATTCTGTAACACCTACTGCTATTATCAAACATACATATACCAAACATCACACATCCAACCCCGTATGCACTCTCCAGGAATTCAATAATACTGTTATGGCATAAGTCACCGTCTTTATCAGTGCTAAGACATTACGCCAGAAACATAGTAAAAAAGACAAATGGACGCTCTTTGTCATAGGGAGTGGCAGTTGTCCAAATACCCACCCTGGATTTAATTTGTCACCCGGGTGCTACGCAGTTGTTGGCGCAGGCAGGTGGACGCTGCTGCGCGTTGGCCTGTGT